AAGAGTTTATTTCCTTCGAGTACGAGAGCAGTATATCAAGCTGAAGCCTGCCTTTCAGTAAAGGGAAATGTATGGCTCACAGAACAGCTTTAAGCATGTTAACACCCTTGCGTCAGTACTTGTGGGAAAAATAAGTTGAGAGTTGGCTTACATTCGTTGTTGTGCCATACCTTTTGCAGCATAGCTTGTGTCTTTCTAAACGTGATTAAGAAATTAGAATGTTCTCTTGCTAAGAAGGGAATGGAAAAACCCTCAGTGTCTTTCATTCATCCTTGGGGAAAACACAGGTGAATAACGTTTGACATGCAAATGCGTCAGAAACCCACTGAATGGAGTACTTAAAAGGCTTTTATGTGTCATCTGTATCTTTAGCTGCTAAGTAGTGCTGTGCCAGCATGAAGGCCGTTTGAGGCACTTAAGTAAATTTGTCTTAAAATGACTTTAAAGCAAAGTTGATGGCTGTAGTGTGAGGAAAGAGTTACCTGTCCTATTCAGGTACTCACTGTGGCTAAATCCCATGTTTTGACTGACTTTGTCTTGCAAATACAGGTTTACTTCTATTTTGGGAGGAATTGTTTGAAGAGTATATAGGAATAGCTTTGATTTTAGTGAAGAAGAGTTAGCTTATTTGCTAGATAAACCGACTTTGTAACTTGTGCATATAAAGTGTTGTGGAAAAGTGTCCGTATAGGAAATTAAATATATATCATGTGTGCATTTAAAGGATGAGCTTTACTATACCTTCATATGACATTCTTTTTTTTTTTTAGGGTGTCATTAATAAAGTAGCCCCTAGTCATATTGGCTGCCTGATACATGGATGCTTCAATGCTTCTATCCCTAAACCTGAACAGATGTCGATTGTACAGTGGCAAGAGCTGGGGTTAAAAATAGGGGATGAACTGAAATTTCAAGTATTGCACTTGGATTCTGATGCAGCTGGGGTGTTCTTCATTCGAGGAGGACTCACTAAAAGCAGGTATTGTGCTGTACTAGAGAATATTTTTAACTGTTTTAATGGGTTTGTTAGAAGCTAAATGATTTGAATTAACATCTTTAAGCTTTCTTATTTTTACACAAACACGTGTCTATATAAAGCCTGTATTAGTTATCTTAAACTAAACTTTCTAGTGTTAAGGATTCACATGGAAATTTTCTCTGGAAAAATAAAAGTAGATTTTTTTTGAGCTTTAAAAATCTACATGTGCTGACCTATGAACTGTTGATTGCATAAATAGTACATGTTCAAAATAGCACCCCCAAATGTCTAGAGTAGCTGTGTTTATGAATGTGCATAGGCTTTTCAAGTGAAAACACTCCAGTTCCTGAACACAATGTTTACATTGGTGTTTACACACACACATTACATAACCACAAATAGTTGTATGTGGATGACTTAAATGCTTGCTGAAACTTAAGAATAGACTTGATCTCAAAGATGGTACAAGAAAATGCATCACCTTCCTCTTTTCACTTATGCCTCTGCAAATTTTTAGAGCAGCTTGCTAAAAATCTTAAAAGAGTTCATTCAGATGTTTTTTTAAAATGGTCATTTGCTGAGCAATTTTTTCTACCAACATGGTTATGTTTTTAATTAAATGTACAATATGACCACTACTGACAAAATCATAACATTTTTGGAGGTCTCTGGTGTTGTTTTTTGTTTGTTTTGTGGGCTTTTTTTTATCTGGAAGGATGCTCTGGATTGTTTCAGTGAACTTAACCATGAAACTTAATGATTTTGTCCTCAGTGCCTCTGGGGACATCTCTCCTCATGGTTTTTAACTGCTTTTTTCCATATTTGTCTTCCTAGACATTTTCTCCAGTGCTCTCAGTTGCAAGGTACCTGCTGGGTTTTTGGATTTTGTTTGGGGTTTTTCTTCTGGGTTTTTTTGACTCTTCTGACATCACCTTTGTTTTAACTGTATAGACTTCAGCAAGGCAATTGCTTGGTAAAAACAGCAGTGTGTCTCATGTATGATTGAACAGGTCATTGGCTGTGCGTGTTTGTGAATAACTTAAAAAAAAGGTTTCCTACACAATGTGTAATTATGAATTAGTGGATGAAGGAGTACAAGAAAAGAGGAAATATTGAAATGGTCTGTACAGCATTTTAAAGAAGAAATTTAGGCTAAGATTAGAAAGAGAATATTGATTCTGTGGTGAGAAGGAACCTAGTAAGGTAATAGAAATTAAGCTGAAAGTATTAAACTGGCTTTATGATTTTCTGTAACTAGAGTAATACGCTCTCCATCTGTTGTTGTTTTTAGCAAATGCTTATCTTTTATCTACTTAGTGTAAATACAGTGTTTTAGCAAATTTTGACATTTCACTGTGTAATGTGCACTTAGATGTCTCTACTTCAGCTTATTTTGTATATTTCTTTACAGCATGCGGCCCAAACAATCTGAGACCATCACTGACAGTACCAATGGAGGTGAAATTCAAAAGCTTGACCACCAGGAAAATGGCTTGAATGACTCTGGGAGAGATAATGTCACAGAGGAGCCTCTAGGTGAGACAGATAACACTGGGAGGGAAAATGCAGAAGAGCAAAGTGTTGATGCTGTGAATGGATTATGTGATGATAAAAACAAGAAGAAGAAGAAAAAGAAGAAGCATAAGCAAGAAGAACAGGAACATGTATTGCCTACCAGTGACTCCAGTGGTTACCAAAGTGACCATAAAAAGTCAAAGAAAAAGAAAAGAAAGCATTCTGATGAAGTTGAAGAAAGTGAATTATCTCAGCTGTCACAAGAACCCAAAGCTAAAAAGAAAAGGGACTAAAGCCTTTCCAGAATCAGATTTCAGACATTTTTGATAAGCTTCCAATAAAATCCGATTTTCAAAATGTGTATGTATATTTCTTTACTAAACAATCTGCTTTGCTAGGTGGGATGATGTTTTTGTGCAAATGTGCACCAACAGCTTTAAATGCAGGAGTTTTTAAACAAGTGATAGAAGAAATGGGATAGAAACAGTATCTGCCTGTTTTATTTACTGGAAGATAAGGCGCAGAAGAGCAGTGGAATGTAATTACAGGAACACATGCATCACTTCTGTGTCTGCTTCATTAACCAGTAGCTAGTTACGATCTTTGTTGCTCTAATTCCGTCTTTGCTACTCAGTGTCTTTTTATAAGAGTAGATTAGGCTTACCTTTGGGGTTCTGGGAAATACACCTGAATTCCCAGGGGCTGACAAGATTTTTTTTTGGTAGTAAGGGGCCATGAATGCCTGTGAATGAAACTCTGCAGCCTGGCTTAAAGGTTAAGCAAACTCTTTGAGTGTCAGATCTTTCAAAACACCTTTTGCAGTACTCTAGGAAAAACAGTATGATCAGTTGATTCAGAGCAAGCAGGGAAGATAGGAGAAGATTAATGTAATCTAGTATAATGAAGTACCACTTAACGGGTTAGAATACAACTGAGAAAGAGGCTGATAAAGCAGTCGGTAATGGGACATACTTTGATGAAGTTCATTTTTATGCATCAAGCTCATTGTCTTAACAGTTTTCTTTTTTTAAAAAAAAAAAAGCTAAACTGCAACTTCCAACTTTTTGTGCAAGTTGTAGCTTTCAAACACCGCTCTCTAGAATAGCAGGTACCTACTGTCAGTATTTTCCAAACTGTTGGAATTAATGTTAGTGGAAAGTTCTTACAATGGGAAAATGACAGTCAAACGTTAACAAATGTGCCTTTATTAAGAACTAATTTTCCTGGTGTACATGTATGATAGTTTTTTGAAATCACTACTTTGGTTGCAGCTCTTTTCCCAGAACTCCTCACAATAGAAAAGAGCTATTAGCGTGACATGGTCTAGGCTAAGTCTTTAACCAAGGTAGGAGGCAATGATTGCTTTGGTATTGATTTACCTATTACAAGAGACATAACCAGCTCTTTGGAAGCCTGTAAGTAAACAGCATGTTTTGGGAAACTTGCTGTTCATCTGTGTGTTCTTAGGTGACAGAACATTTTGTGCTAGTGATTATGCTGATGCTATTAGCTCGCTTTACTAGATTTATGTACAGTGTCTAATAACATACCCATTGAACATGTTCTGAATTTAAAGTGTGACAATACTTGTTTTAGGGCTCACTTTGTGCTACATTAATGTCTTTTATGCATCTTTAAAGCTCAAAACTTACCAAGACAAATCTAAGTTTCTGTCTTCCAGGCTTGATGACATGCATGGCAGTTCATCATAGGCATTTTAAAGTTATTATAACACCATAAAGAACCAAGTTAAGAGTTTTTGAAGACCTATAAGGTGAGCTTAAATAGCTGTTTAAGGGCAGCAGAAACTTCAGTATATCCTCTTTTGCTTGCTCTTCAGCGAACTTGATCTTCAAGCCAGTTTCTGGACAGTCCTGAGATGAACATGAATTGTCCCTGTTGCGTTTCTACACGTGACAGTGCTGACACTTGAACTACATGCAATTTCATGGACGCTGTCTCATCTGTCCATTCTTCCTGTACCGTCACAAAACCTGAGAAGTCACTGTTTTTGTAATGCGTTTGTTACAGCACACTACAAGGTCAACTGAGGGTGGTATTCTGGTGTGTTAAATGTTGCAGAGAGTAACACAAAAAGTCCCACCCTAACGTGCTTAAAATTTCACTACACAGGACAGGCTGAAGGTTGGCACATAATTTACAGTCAGAAATTACCTGTTAGCTCCCTTTTTTTTTTTTTAATGGATTGATGTAGAGGAAAGAAGTTAGATGGGTAGGTATGGAGGATATATCAGAGAGGAGGATGGCAAGCACCGATACTTTTTGTTGATGCCTATGGGAATAAAAGGATGGAGGCACTTGCTGATGCAGATGAACCAAAGACTGAGAGAGTCATATGACTTCATCTGTTAGTCCTTAATAATCATTATAGCTCACTTTCCCTTTTAGGGAAGGAAAACACATCTGCAGCAGACCCGCTCTTGGTGACTGCAGCATGAGCCAAGCCCCACCAGTTCATAGAACCAGCTTGTAGCACCAAGAGTTTGTCTTGCTCTGTTCCAGCTTTTCATCGGTGTGGAGGGAAGGGAGACGTTCAGGGTGGAAGAACTGAAGTTGCAATTAATGAATCAAGTAACATAGACAGTATAAATGCTTTCAGCACTTTGAATGCTCTTTTTCCACTTCTGCTGCTTTACCATTCTCTTACTGAAAGAGAATTGCTTACTGTAATTTAACAAGCTATACAGACTGGCTTTCTGAGGGTATTAAGCAACTTTTCTGAAAGCCTAATGTAATCTGTCTCAGTTTTGGGCCTTATTTAAAGGCAGGAGTTTTTTGGCACACAAGCTTGGCCAGCACCCTCTTATATCATTTTTTGGTTTTCTTTCTTGGCTTGCAACAGAAGGGAGCGATTAAAAAATAAATTAAATGCAGGAGGTGGCAATTCATGATTGCTGAAAAAGTTGTTGCTCCAATGTTGCAAATACTATAACATTTTATATTAAATTCTTGCTAGGTTAATATGCAAATAACAACTGCGGTTCAAAATAAAATTTTAGATTCCTTTGCCTGACAGTTGTACAAAGCAGTTGACTGTTTTCTGCTGTTTTGTGTCTTTGGAAGGGGAAAAGTGAAGAAAAGACTTAAAAAAAGAAAAAAGAAAAAAAAAGTGCTTTTCACAGTTGGAGCCACTATTGGCAGCCTCACAGCTGCACTGTTAATGTTGCTGTAGACACTGTTTTGGCATTAGCTAAATATGGCAAGAAAACTTGGATTTTCAAAAGTGAATTGTCACTCTATTCATGACTTCAAATCACTTCTCTTTGGTTTTTTCCCCTTAAAAAAAACTAAGATTTTCCGATGCTTGAAATTAACAAAGGAAAGAAGCTGAACGTGACACTTTCCGTAAAAGTTTCTCTGAAATTTGATCATTATAAATGTTTAGCTTTCTGTGTTCCCTTGGACTAGAGAGGAAGAGTTGTATTGAATTTTGAGTTGAGCCAAGATTTTTGAGTATCAAGAACAACCATTTGTAAAGCTTCCAGTGAGGCCAGGTGACTTCGTATTTGTTTGCACAGTCCTTCTGTTCCTTTTTTTCAGAGTGCATTCTAATACAACTCATTTCTGTCACATAGCAAAGAGAAGGTTAGAAGGTAGAATTGTATTTTGTTCCACAACTGTATTGACAGTTACACCAAGGTAACTATCGGGTGATCTAGAGAAAACATACGCTGTTTTTTTCCTGTTTTAACATTAAGTTGGCCACAAAGCCAATATTCACTTCTGTCTGTGGTCAATAATCTTTTGTCTGTATTATGAAAAATGTAGTTCCAACTTAACCAGCTATAATAAGTTTCTAAAGCAGGGACTGCTTCTTTGTAGTAGTATAAATATTTTGATTCTGCAAACATGTTTCTCAGTGTATTGCATGCCTTTGGCAGAAGAGCAAGCGCTCTTCGAAGAAAGTATTTTTAGCTCTCTTTAAAACAATTGTTTTGTGCTCTCTGAAACTTGCAATGATCTGCAGTGTTAACTTTTGCTCTTTGTCTTTTTCTTGCTTCTCTTAGAAACAAATCCTGTGCTTTTGACTTGGCAGTTTTCTGCTGCTTAAAATATGCAGCCCAAACACCCAGTGGATGAGCTCTCGGGAAAGGATTTTTAAAAGGGCCTAGGTAGGCTAGCTGCTTTTTGGAAAACGTGAGCCTTGGTTGAATCTGCCTCTGAATAAACAGTTTGTCTTTGGAAGCATCCCACCCTTTGGTAGCCCTCAGACAGTACAGATCTTTGCTGTAAAAAGCAAGGGGGTAGTTACGTACCCAGACTGTTAAAGCTGTATTTTTTCCATATACCTATGAAAAGGTTATGTGATTTGATACGCTCAGGATCATTAGGGTTGGCTATGAAAGGACTGAAATAGTTTCATTCTAATAAGGCATCTATTTTTCTTACAATAATGTTGATTCTATTCTGCTATTTAGCTTTCAGAAATTCTGTAATTTCAATAAAGCCTGAAGAACTTCAGTATCCAGTAGACTTAGTCTGTTTATAGGGAGAGGATACTTTGTCTTCTGGATTCATGTGAACAAAAATAAGACTGAAAATCAAGCTTTGCACTTCTCCAACATTGTCAGTAGGTAAGTTTTCTACAGACACAGATCATGATTTTTGCGTCCTTTATCATGACTTTACACATAACTAAGTTAAAACTGGGTTAAATTCAGCTGTAAGTCTTGTAGCAAGCCACCCAATTGACCTGATGTTAAGCAACTAGGAGCAATTGCAGCCTGGCAATGGCTTCAAGTTCCCCTGAAGCCAACTGTCCCAGGCAAAGAGTAGAGATAGGTACGAGGGAATGAGCCTTAGTTTTCCTCCTTCAAGGACCCCCGCTCTGAGACATTGAATACATAGATGATCTCCTCCCATTTCCCAGACTGATACGTCTATGTGTATTATCGCTGCTGGAACATTTCTGTTTTGGTCAGAGACAGTTCAACTCGACAAAGACTTCGAGAAATCTATCTACAGAAACAGCTAAAATGAACTTTCTGTACAGAAGGTGAGTGACATGCAGCGGTTCTTAGTACATAGCAAAGAAACCTTTTGAATAGAGGAAAGAATTTTGGTACAAGACTCATTATCAATACCTTCCTCTTCTATGGATTATTTTCGTGTATTTCATATGACTAGAAGGTTGAGCTCTGACCTTTGGTCTCTGAAGCTATATAATACTTATTAATGCAAGATATGACTGACTATTGCACTTCAAAGCTTCCTTGCTCCTCATCCCCTGTGCTCCTTCTCCTTTATGCTTTCTTTCACTGGTGCCTTTAGT